CAAGCTCTTGGAGCTTGTTTCGATCCATACAGGGCTTTATACAGCCTGTACACCTTTCTCTCTTTGCCATGTTTCACAAACACAACTGGTTGTTTAACATAGACTTCTTCATCTGAGGGTCCATTCAGAAATGCACACTTTACGTCCATCTGACATATGTGCCAACTATTTATTTCTGCAAGACCAACAACAAACCTTAATTTTTCGATTCTAGCCGTAGGTGCAAAAACTTCATCGAAGTCTATTCCTTATTTATGTAGAAATCATTTCGCCATAAGCCATACTTTGTGTAAAGTTACTTCACCTTTGGGATTCATCTTTACTTTGTATATCCACTTGACATCAATTTCTTTTTTCCTTGAGACAATTCGAATAATGACCAAGTATTGTTGTCTTTGATAGACTTCACTTATTCGTTCATTGTTTTCACCCAATTCGAGTCCTTCAATGCTTCAGCTGCATTGACTGGTTCGACATCTGCATAGAAAGTATATTGTACCAACTCACCTTAATTATCAACCACATTATCTGATGTAATCACATGATCTTACAACCTTGCAAACACGCGTCTTGTTCTTTGAGGTCTGCTTGTACTTGGTTGATCTATAACTACTGGTTCCTCTTGTTGAACTTCTCTTTCGACTTCAACTGTTGATTCTTTGAATAAGATTCTTACTGAGTCTTTCTTGACATTTTCTGTCCAATCCCATTCCTTAAGCTCATCTATGATAACGTCCTTGCTGATCACAATCAGCTTATTCACTGGGTCGAACAACTTGTAACCTCCTGTCAAATGATACCCTACTAGGATCATCTGACTCAACTTGGCATCAAGTTTTCTTCTCAACTGATCTGGAACATGTCTATGTGCAATGGATCTAAATACCTTCAGATGACTCAAGCTAGGCTTCCCACCAGACCAACATTCTTCTGGAGTAATTCCTTCTAGCTTCTTCGTTAGACATCTGTTCAAAATGTATGTTGCAGTCGACACAGCTTCACCCTAAAACTCTTTAGGTAAATGCTTTCCTTTCAACATACTTCTCACCATATTCACGATGGTTTGATTCTTCCTTTATGTAGTTCCATTTTGCTGTGGAGTATAGAGTAGCACCACCTCATGCACAATCCCTTCTTTTTCACATAATTTGTCGAAGTCTCTTGACACATATTCTCCACCACCATCAGTTCTCAAAACTTTGAGCTTTCGACCACTTTGTCTTTCGACCATAGATTTAAACTTGGTAAATACCTCGATCACTTCACTTTTCTTCTTGATCAGGTAAGTCCATAATTTTTGACTAAAATCATCTATGAATGTAACAAAGTATTTTTTACCTCCAAACGAATCCACCTGGACTGGTCCACACACATCATAGTATATGACTTCAAGAATAGCCTTCGACCTGCTTCCTGCATCCTTACTGAAGCTATTCTTGTGGTGCTTTGCTTGCACACATTCCTCACATACCTTATTTGAAATGACGATTTCTGGAAACTCTGAAACCATATTTCTTCTTTTCAAACCTCTGACGTCTCTGAAGTTGAGATAGCCTAGTCGATAGTGCCATATTCATTCATCCCAGCTAGCTGCAGTCGAAAGGCACTTGTGCTCCATCACATTAAGCTCAATCTTTAAGGTTATATTTTGATACATAGGAGCTTTCAATATTAATCTTCCATTTGCATCGATAACTCTCATCATCTTATCTTTGATCGACACTTTGTAATTCTTTTCGACCAACTGCCCTATACTGAGCAAATTGCTCTTCATGCCTGGTATGTACAACATATTGGAAATTACTGAACTCTTGCCATCTTTCCTCATAATCATAACATCACCAATACCTTCAGCTTCTAGGGTATTGTCATTTTCAAATTTCACCATATTCTTCATCGAGGGTTTTATGTTGGCAAACCAATCTTTACTTCCAGATATATGTGATGAGCATCCTAAATCCAAGTACCATTGGTCCTTAAATCTATATTTATCTCTTGTTGTGACTATCAACACCATCTCTTTTTCTTCATGTTTTGCAAACCTTGCATCACTTTCTTGATTCTTTCGCTTTTATGGACAATCACTAGAATAATGACCATACTTCTGACAATTGAAACACTGAATGTGACTCTTGTCAGGTTTTCGACCACCACATCTTCCTCTATTCGCAACACCACCTCTTTGGTTGCCTTGGTATGGTTTTCTCTTATTCGACATGTTTTCTTTGTGTTGATTTCCTCTACCATTCAAAAATTGTTGTAGCCACCATTACCTTTGTTGTCAAACCACTTTCCTTTTCCCTTCTCGTCTCTTGTTGATTGAGCCTGTAAAGCCACATCACTCTTCGACTTGCCTGCAGCTCTTTCAGCCATTCTTTGTTCGTGAGATTCAAGCATCCCTTGAAGCCCCCCCTTCACAAAAATGACATGTCCTTCGACTCTTCAATGGCAATAATCACATGGTCAAACTTCGGAGCCAAAAATCTTAAGATCTTCGAAACAACTACTCTTGTTGTTAATGTCTCTCCATAAGTCTTGATTTGATTCACTAGTTTTGTAAACCTAGTGAAGAAATCATATATACTTTCTCTATCTTCCATCTGAAGCAATTCATACGTTCTTTTGTGAGTTTGTAATCTCACATCTTTCACCTTCTCAGCGCCTCCAAACGATTTATTGGGAATCTCCCAAGTTTCTTTTACAGATTCTACATCACTAACCTTTTCAAAATTGTATGGGTTGACACATTGGTGAATTATAAAGAGAGATTTATAATTCTTCTTCTTCAATTTTTTGTATTCAGCTTCTTCTTCTTTTGAAGAGTCTTCATCAAGCGACTCTAATCCATGTTTCACAAGATCCCAAAGACCTTGAAAACAAAATATAACCTTCATCTGTTTGCACCAATTCTCATAGTTATCACTTTTAAGAACCGGGAGACTTGCTGGAAAATTTTCGTTAGCATAATTCATCTCCATCGTGAATCTCTTCTTCTTCTTCCTTGATTGTTCTTGATCGTTCTTCCCTTAAATCACTCAACCGGAGCTCTTGATATCAGATGCTGGAAATCCACCAAAACTTATGATGAATTTCTCACAATCTTGATGAAAAAGATTGTTCTCATAATACAATAATAATGAATTATATGAAAGAATAAAAGAAATAAATAAGACAATGATTTTTCTGCAAAGTTTCTCTCTACCCACAAATTATGGAAAACTTTGTTATTCACTTGCAACTGCAAGTTTTATGAATACAACTTGATTGAATTGATTACAAAAATAGGGGTTACTCCCTCTATTTATAGATTTAGGTTAGCTTGCTCCCTAAGACAAAGCTCAAAACTATAAAAGCCCAAAATACATATTTTGGAACTAAATTAAATCTATTCTATTTTTACCAAAATCAAATCTATTTAAATTTAAAATTAAATCAAATATGTGTGTAGCATCTTCGACATACTTGCTTTGACACTCCCTTGTCTATAGCGAGCAAACTACTTCGACACAAGGAATTAATTTCAACAATTACAAACTGGTATTGAGGGATTTAGAAAAGAGAAGAAAATGATAGAAGACAAAAGATTTGAAAAGGGGGAGAGAAAGATGGAAGACATAAAAGTTGTGTTAAAAATTAGAGAGAGAGGAAAATTCTACTGAACTCTCTCTCTCTCTCTCTCTCTCTCTCTCTCTCTCTCTCTCTCTCTCTCTCTCTCTCTCTCTCTCTCTCTCTCTCTCTCTCTCTCTCTCTCTCTCTCTCTCTCTCTCTCTCTCTCTCTCTCTCTCTCTCTCTCTCTCTCTCTCTCTCTCTCTCACGGTTGTCACCCACTACTATTCTAGAACTCTCTTGTTTTAAATTTCTTTAACCAATCTAATTTTTAATAATATTGTATGCTAGACACTCAGTTCCAGTAGGTAGGATATGACAACACGCTTTAGTAGTACTGTTGTAATAATAGCTAAGCATATATAAATAAAGATAACTATCAATATTTTATTAGTGCATCTCTGTCAATTATGGATTCCGATGGTTTCAAGAAGCACATCCAATTTCAACCATCTCAAACTAAAAGTTAAAATCGACAATTCGTAGACCCGTCATCACCCATCTGAATGCATGTTATATTTTTCGGATAACACGATTTACGGTTGGATATGGTAAATTCGTCCACCCCTAATTTAACCTATTAAATATTTGGCTAAATTATTGTTTTGATCCTCCTATTTTATATGATTCATGAAATTAGTCCCCCTATTTTAAATTTAAACAGTTTTGGTCCCCCTATTTTAAATTCAAACAGTTTTAGTCCCCCTCTCGTGTTTTTTTCATAAAAATTAGGTGAGATTTTTTCCTTTTTAACTTATATTTTATCTACAAAGTTAAATAATAGATTTATATACGATAATTTATCATATTTTATAAGTAATTTGTCATTTAAAAAGTGAAAACATCGTTAAATTTAAGTGAAAAAGTATGAGAGAGGATCAAAATTGTTTAAATCTAAAATAGAGGGATCAAAACTGTTTAAATTTAAAATAGGGGGATCGATTTCGTGAATTAAAAAAAATAGGGGGACTAAAAATATAATTAAACCTAAATATTTTTTTGGTTAAAAAATCTAAAAAATATTATGAAAATTTTTATTTTTATTTTTTAAATAAAAAATTGTTTAGAGATGGATAAACTCCAACCTGTATATAACTCAACTTGAATAATATATTTTTAAATTCATGTAAAATATGACATTTTTAGTATGCTCTATGGTTGCAGTTTTGTCTGATCTTCCACATAAGAAAATAAATTTTATATTATGTGTTGGTTGGAAAATCTTTTTTTGTGCTACAGAAAAGGTTTTGATTGCAATGTCAAGTTTTCAAGTGCAATGAAGATTAACTTAGAAAATGTGATGGAAGAATTAAGTTTTTCTTGTGGAAAATTCAAGACAAAGATGTTTTTATACAATTAGTGTTGCAAAGACGTTAAAAGGAAACATTTTCAACATGAGCAATGAAAAGTGGGAGGAACTAGATTTGAGAGCTTCGAATAAAATCCACATGTTTTTGGCTAAGAATATTCTTGCGAATGTTCTTGGTACATCGTCACTCAAAGAGCTTTGGGAGAAACTTGAAGGGCTATATCAAGAAAAAAGTATATGAAATTGGTTGTTGTTAAAGGAGTTGTTTCATGGATTGTGTATGGATTAACATATGAAAGTATCTCATCATCTAAGTGTTCTCAATGATATTTTTTCTGAATTAGAAACTATTAGAGTCAAGATCGATGATGAAGATAAAGCTTTGAGATTCATGTGTTCTCTTTCATCTTCCTATGAGCATATTAAACATGTTTTGATATATGAAAAGGAAACTTTTAGCTTTGAATAAGTTGCTAGTAAAGTTATTTTTAAAGAAATAAGATTGAAGCGTGAGGATACCACTTTATCAAACTCAGTGTTAGTTGTTAGAGGAAGGTATTATGTGAAGAAAAACAGTGAAACATGTGTGAGATGTTGGGAATATGGAAACATTTAGCATGTAAAATATAAGTGTATTGATGGGGAAGTGTCAAAGAAGAGCGCCAAGTCAAATGCTACCAATGTCTCCCTCATTGTGGGAAATGATGATCTTCTCTAAAAAATTGAGAAGCGTGTCTTCATGAAATTTTCAATTTCATAGAAAAGGACAAGTTATTGCTAGTGGATTAACACATGACTATTGGTGCAAAATGTATTGTGAGATTATGTCAATGGTTGAAGAACTTTCTACCAACATAGAAGTTGCACCATATGTTTTCAACTTGATTTTTGACATGTGGAAAATTTTGAAGTGGTTTAGTTTCAATTGAAGTATACTCTTCTTTAGGTGGAGTATAATAGTTTTTAAAACTATGATTGTCGGAGAATTATACTCTTTATGGGTGTAACTTCAAATGACTATACTCTTTATGAGAATTATGATTGTTAGTGAAGAAAATGAGAGCTAATGCATTATTTTCAATCAAGGTGGATATTGTTGGGGTTGGTTAAAAATATACATGTTGAAGAAGTTCAACATCACTTAGTTTTGTAAAGGAAGAGAACTTTCAATGCTATATATATAAAGGATTCAAGTTCTTTATTATAAAATGCATCAATCTAAAATACTTTAAGCTTATATTTGACTTTTTATATTTTCTCTAATACTCTTGTGTTAGAGTATTGTGAATGATAGCTAAATATTTGTTTTATAGAGTGTGGATGTATTGAGGCCTTAGGATAGTTGAGGATAGTCTATATGTTATAACAATCTTCACACCGTGTTATTCTCTAGTTGTCATTTGACAACGCTTGTGATTTTTTCATTAATTTTAGAATTTTCATGTTAAATTCTTGTGTTTTTATTGTGTTCCTCTTTTTCTCCGTGCATTTGTTTTTTCAAACATCCTACTATTGCTAACTGGATCAAAGAAAACATAAATGGAGCCTCTTTTGAAACCCATAACATGGGTGTTTTTGGTTCTATGTTTAGAGACTATAATGCCAACCATGTTAGCAGTTTTTCATGCTTTCTTGAATGCATTATTTACCGAGCTCATGAGAGCATAGAAATGGAACATGCTATCTCTTTCAGTTGACATAACTTTTAGTTGGAAATCGACTCCATATCAATGGTTAAAACTATCTCAATTTTGATTCCTTATAAGATGAGAAATAATGGGAAAATTGTATTGATTTCAAATCGAGGAATTTTTTGATTTCTCATAACAATTGTACAAATACTTCAACTAACTAAGGCCTAACATTTATGACTTACCCTTAATGAGATGGTATATACTTTTGTGCATCTAAAGATTTCAATAGAAATTTAATAAGATTTCCTAACTTTAGGATTTTAAACTCTTGAGATTTTAGATAATCCTTTCTTCTTTTTTTACCTATTTGCTTTTCGTTTATACCATGAGCTATGCTTTTAAAAAAATCATTTGTTTTTAATAAATACATTATCTTATTTTTTTGTAAATAGAAAAAATTTATATACAATTTTTTAAGTGTAATTTTTATTTTTTTTATAATAAAAATATAACAAATCTATTTAAATAAAAAGTGAAAACAAGAGAAAATTGCATTAAGAAAAAATATATACTTGTTATATTTTTATTAGAAAATAATAAAAATTATACTTAAAAAATTATATCTAAATTTTAAAATTTCAACCCAAATAAAATAATTGTAAAATCTTGCTAAAATCCAATAGCAATGAAAGTGTCACTAACATTGCTCCAAACCATTATCCAACCTAGCACCAGCTACATAGTACTCCTATCTCTAACTTCTAACTCCCACCAAAAACACATAAATTTATACTTCATTAATAATAATAGTAATAATTATTATTATTATAATAAAAAAAATAACAAGTGAAAAATATACAAATATTTTAATAAAGTAAAGAATAAAAAAAAGGCAAAATTATAATTCCCATTACGCACCAACGGTGCACGTTAGTTAGTTCCACCCACCTCACAGTAATAATAATAACAGCGTTTGAAATTTTTATTTCATTTTATTTCCATTAATTCCTTTTTAATTTTTTTTCTAATCTCGGCGATTTTCCGTCGGAATCTCCTATTCCTCGCCGCACTTTCCTTCTCCGATTTCTCCTCAATTTCAGATCCCATTTTCAACAATTTTTCAATTTCTCACACAAATCTCACTTTTTTCCCTTTTTTTTTTCAGTTCAGTTTGAGTTAGATTCGTTCTTACTTCACCCTAGATTTGCTTCAGTTTCAACTACACGTGGCGATCTAGGTCATCTTCAACAGCAGTGAGTTGTTATTTTTTGTTTTGTTTTTGGTTTGAAAATTTGAAATTTGAATGTTATAGTTAGCGGTTTTTTTTCTGCATCTAGGTTAGGGTTTTAATTTGAATTTAATTTAAGAGTTTATTTTTTTTTTGGAGCTTTTGGGTAATGGGTTTTCGATCTTTGTGAAAAAAAAACTAATTTTTATTTTGTTTGTTTGTTGAATCTAGGTTAATTAGTTGTTGACAATAAAGTTAGTTTTTTTTTTTTTTTGCTAAGAATAATGAACTATGAATTAGTACTTGATTTTAGATTTGGAAAGTGTTTGGCTGCTTGCATGATTTGGAAAGTTTTGTGATTTACTAATTTTATATGCTAGATTGAAAATTGTGTTTAGGGTTCAGTTTCAATCTATAGAATGTCTTGATCTGTTTATTGTAGTTCATAATTTGAGTTTGTTTTGTTCTGTTTCATGTTTATGGATTGTGGTTCTTGATGAAAGTTGTGTTAGATTCAAACTTCAAAATTAAAGTTTCTCACTTTTTTTTCTTTTCATTCTAAATCTGTCAGAAGGCATGGAAATGAGGTTATATATGATATTGGAAACGATGTTGGGCTGTTTGTAGATTATTTTTAAGTTTGGTTGTGAAGTGATTTGGTTTCGAAATGGAAGAAAATAAAGAGGAAGCGCTTAAGGCGGTAGAGATTGCTGAGAAGAAATTTTCTCAGAGGGATTTTGAAGGTGCGAAAAACTATGCTTTAAAGGCGAAAACTCTTTGTCCTGAGTTGGATGGTGTATCTCAAATGGTGGCGACGTTTGAAGTTTATTTTGCTTCTGAGTTTAGACATAATGGGAAGCTTGACTATTATTCGGTTCTTGGACTGAAACCTACTGCAGATGAAGCGGCTGTTAAAAGAAAGTACAAGAAGTTGGCAGTGTTGCTTCATCCAGATAAGAACAAATGTGTTGGAGCTGATGGGGCGTTTAAGCTTGTTTCCGAGGCGTGGACTTGTCTCGACAATGCCATGCGTAGTTCTTATGATCTCAAGAGAAGTTATTCTTCTGTTGTTCAGGCTACAGGTTATAACAACTGTTCCAATATGCCGCCAAACTCTTCTAGTAAACTCGACACCTTTTGGACAATCTGTACCGCTTGTAAGGTTCAGTATGAGTATATGCGCAAGTATGTGAATAAAAAACTCTCTTGTAAGAACTGCCGTGGCGTTTTTATTGCTGTTGAAACTGGTGCAGCCCCTGCAAATGGTTCATTTCCGTATCAACCTAGGCCATATGTGCCAGGAAATGGGTTTGGAAGTCAATCAATTGACGGAGTTACGTATGCTCCAACTAATGCCGGCTATTTTAATGGGAATGGAGTCCCGGATACCATTCTGGACACATGTACGAGTATGTTTCAAATGTTTCGTTTCAGATGGGCTCTGCTGGTTTTATCCATCAAAATGGATCGCCTACTGCTCTACCTGCGGGTTCTGTTCATCAGGTCAATGGAAATGCAAAGAGGGGAAGACCAAAAGTCAAACCAGAAGTAGCTAATGGAAGGCATCCTATGGCGGAGACCATGGTCAACATAAACTCACATGTATCGTTCTCGTGTAATGAACTGCATGAAGTTAAGCTAGGTAGACCTGACAAGAAACGTAAACTTACGGTGGCAGCCAGTTTCAGAAACGGATATGATGAAAAAGGATCAAAATGTGCTTCAGATGCAGTAGTGTCAAATGGAAATGATAGTGTTGGAAATAGCAGACCTGGCCAGAAGCTTTCCGGTGTAAATGAAGTTCAAACCAAACACTGTTTCACTCCACCTGCATTTGACGCGAGGAAGTTATTGATTGAGAAAGCCAGGACAGTAATTAAGAAGAAACTCGAAGAAATGAAGTTGTCATCCGAAGCTGCAGTTCAAAAAGAAAAAGAAAAAGAAAAGGCGCAACTTCCGAATGTTGTTTGTCAAGTCAAAAGAGAGACATGTAGGAAAGCACCTCCGAATGTTGTTTCCGGTCTTTCATTTGAACGCGGGAAAGCCAATCCGATCTCAATAACTGTCCCGGATTCTGATTTTCACGACTTCGACAAAGATAGGACAGAGGAATGTTTCCAGCCAAAGCAAGTATGGGCCTTATATGATGAAGAAGATGGAATGCCGCGATTGTATTGTCTGATCCGCGAGGTTATATCTGTTAATCCTTTTAAGATCCATATCAGTTACTTAAATTCCAAAACTGATACCGAGTTTGGCTCAGTAAACTGGCTTGAATCAGGTTTTACCAAATCTTGCGGAAATTTCAGGGCTTGGACTTCAGATATTGTCGACCAAGTCAACATATTTTCTCATGTTCTAAGCCGCGAAAAGGCTGGTCGAGGTGGTTGTGTCCGCATATATCCAAGAAGTGGAGATATTTGGGCTGTTTATCGAAATTGGTCACCAGATTGGAACCATTCTACACCTGACAAAGTAAGGCATGAATATGACATGGTGGAGGTGCTGTATGATTACTCTGAGGATCTTGGTGTCTGTGTTACTCCCCTTATCAAGTTAGCTGGATTCAAAACAGTATACAAAAGGAATCCTGACCAAAGTGCCGAAAGATGGATACCGAGAAGAGAAATGGTACGCCTTTCACATCAAGTTCCTTCTTGGTTGCTGAAAGGGGAGGAAAGCAAATTGCCGGATCGGTGTTTTGATCTTGATCCAGCTGCAACTCCGGACGAGCTTCTTCATACTGCTGCTACAGAAGCAAAAGCTTTGTAGGTTATAAATTGGTGTGAAACAATTACTTGGATTATTATGCTTTTAGCATTCATGACATTTTAGATTTAACTGTACACTGTCACACTTGGTAATGTAACATTGTCTTAGACTTTAAGATCTAGTGATTGCTTGTTGTCACATGAGTTGTAACTCTTGTTGTAAGAGACTTCAGGACACATTCGCATTGTAACTGTATTTCTGACCAGTTGATTCAATCAAAGGCTGAAACCAATTTTAAATCCAGTAATTATACAGGTCTGTTTAGTGTAAGTGTGTCCAAAAGCTGAAGCATGGTTCATAAGTATGTCACTATTGTTTTCAATCTCCAACGTTCTAAGAAGCAGATGTTTTTTTTACTTAGTACTATTTAGGTGCCCATTAATTTGATCAAAATCAAGTTAAAAAATTACATCCACTCAAAAGCTCTAAATATTACGATCAATTAAAATGCGTTTTTTCAACCTGATTTAGTTTTTTTTAATGAATCCAAACATATCCTTAAACATTAGTGATTAAACTCACATTTTTAAGATCTTTTTTAGTTAGTTGATAGATTCTTTTTTACGGTCTTCTTTTTAGTTAATTGATGGATTTTTTTTCTTACTCCACCGATGATAGAGATAACTGTGTCCACTCTCCTATTATTATTATTATAAACTAAATTACCTACTTTTGTATTTATTTTAAAATTATAAAAATTAATTAAGTGTAATTTATTTAATGTAGAATCAAAGTAAAATTTTAGTTATATTTAGATGAATCAATTATCAATAATAAATAGTTTTAAATTAAATTAATTTTCCTTCTCCAAAAACAATTTTCTTAAAAGCTACCATTCCTAATTTTTGAGTTTAGTAAAATCAATTTTATATTTTATTATATTTGATTTGTTACAATTCCTCTCTCTATTTTTCATCAATTGTTTTTTTATTTATTTGTATTAGAATTTATTATCATTTTGATAATCATACATTTAAAATCAATTTTGATAAAACTATTCAAACAACGTTAATTAATAACAATCACTTCTATAATATTGTATCTAAAATTAATTCTTTCAAAATCAATTATATACACTGAATTCAAACACATCCTCCATCGATGATAGATAGAGATATCTATTTAATAAATCCATTTTATTTTGATAATTTTATTGCTATAACTATTTTTTTTTAATATTTGATTTGTGTAGTTTTGAATAATTTCATCACTACCTAAACGATTGAGTATAACATCCCTTTGGATGTTTTTGTGTCTTTCAACATTTTTTACCATGACATTGTTCTGTTGCGGAACCAGAAATGGAATGGATTATGGAAACTGCGGTGGAGCAGAGTTTCTGAGCACTATGATGATACGACACTGTGGATCGAAGGTTGCAATCACGGTGCTCCTTGAATTAGAGGTATCAGGCTTGACGCAATGTCGTTATCTCCGATATAGTTGATATATGGGGTACCTACATGGTTAGCACTTGAACACCCAAGTCAGTTTAGGGTTCAAGGTAGTGCTAGTGATGTTAAGTCTCATGAAAAAAGAAATAAATACAACATTGTATCTAAAAGCAATAAGGTAACTCATATCATAAATTGTGATCCATTTATCCATACCATGCACACCTAAATGGTCTACTCGTAACACATTTCTAATTGTAAAGACAATGTCATAGAACAACTTTGAAAAATAATTGAGAGTGCTAATGAACTTGGGCATCTAACCGCTTTCGTATTAAAGATCGTGACTCTTCACCCCATCCAAGTAAAGATGCAATAAAACGGAAACCATAATTTCCATCGTCACCAACATCAATAATATCATTGATGTATAAATGTAAGAAAGCAGGAAATTGTGACAAGTAAAGATCTCTTGAAGAAATCTACATACTTGACAATTGTCTTCCAGTTGGTTTTATGCATGATATCTTTGTAGTTTGACTCCCCTTCGATTACTCATCATACTCCCACTGGAAAGGATCATGATGTACATCATTATCTTGACCCTTTCTACTCTTCTTAACTCCCCTCATTGGCTTGTACTTCACCGGTGGACACATAGAAGTTATGGATGGATGTATGAGTTCCCGAATCTTTTTCTTTAACACCCTATGGCCTACAATATCTAATGTATTGAAATACGTCTCCAACTCTTCACACTCTGCTTCTAAATCCCACTTTGTACCACTCTTGATCTTACAAGTGATCAAAACCTGTAAGGGTCGATATCTTTGTCTGCAAAGCTGGTAATGAGGAGGAGCGGGTGTACCTGCAAGACACTCTGACGCTCAAGTAAGAAAGAGTGTAAAGAGATTAAAGATAGAAATGTTTATGGTTTTAGAAGTGAGTAACTAATATTGAATATTGAATGTTGAATATCTGGCCCTCACAAGTCTGAGGATTTATATAATGCCCCCAGCGCTTGGTCATTGGTTCCTATTTTTGGGTCTAGATATTAGGTTCCTCAAAAGTAGGTAACTGCAAGGAACTAGCCGTTGTAATGGGAAAAGATGCTCAGAACTAGCTGTTACAACGAGCAGAGAAGTGTTTCACAGGCAAGCATGATTTCTGATCGTTCCTGGGTGGTTGTCCTCGCGTGTGTCGTAACCGGCAAAAAATAGCGAGTCGCCACCACTACTTTTTGTCCTAAAGACGGGAAAGAACGGATAACCATAATTGTTTAGAGATTCTAAGTTCGCAAGTTGGTTAGACTAAGAGAAGGTGTTAGGCACCCTTCATCTCCCTTGTTCTCAAGGGACATCCTATTTTAGGTTTAATGTTAGATCATGAATTTTCTATTTAAAAGTTACTATTTCCATGAGTTTGAGAAAATGTTTAATTTTTTAATTATGGTACTCGCCTTGGTTTTAAGCGCGTGCCTACGTATATTCTTACGAAGAATCAGAGTACAATTTCGTAGTTCATATGTGTTTGATTAGTTTTTTTTATGGATTGTGTAAATGCTTTCGAGTTATCCTTGAACCTTGTCTGGGTTTGAAAATTGTGTAGTCGTAGACAAAGTTCGCAGTTAACTTAGAAAATATATCCATAATAATTTTTGAAAATAATATTGAAATTGAGATTATGTTAGTTAAAAAATATTAAGTTTGATTGCTTAGATGTCTTGAATGCATGATGAAGTTTTAAAAATAGATTTAAGTGATGAAAAAAAATATTTGATGAATTGAAAAAATGTTAGTATTTTAGAAAATAGTTAGTAAATAAGTATTTTCTTATTATTAGAAATATATTGAATATTTATAATAATAGGCAAATATTTATTTATCAACAGGATTATTTATTATAAATAAAAAGTATATTATTTTAATGTAAATGATAAAAAATGATATGAGAGGAAAAATTGATCATATTATAAATAAAATAAATAATATAAATATATTAAATAAATTATTTAAATAAAAACAGTATTCTGAGTTAACATAGTAAAACAAAGGGGGGGGGGGGGGGGGGGGTAAAATAGCAAGGGCTTAAGCCCATAGTTCATTTGAGGCCTAATAATCAGAGGGGGTGTAAACTATGTTAAGGTAGTAAGTATGTGATGTGTGGAAAGAAAGGGCTTAAGCCCAAACATTTACTTTGATCCAAAGGCGCTTGAGGGTGTAAATTATAGTCGTTGTAGAAAAAGGAAGGGTGCTAATATAAAGGGCTTGACCCAAAACAAATTATTGTAATCCGTTAGCTAGGGTGTGTGAGAGATCAGGGAGCTATGCGTTGCAGGGTTTGGGATGTTTGATCCAGATCATGTGGCCATCAGAAGTTAATTTTGAGACAAAAATCTGGAGTATGATAAACAGACGACTCCGATTGAGAGTTTGACTGAGAGAGCATGGTAGGACGTCTGTACAGAGCGAGGAGCGACGTTATATATTCATTTTCCTCCAAAATTCTCATTTATCTCTTCTTCGTCTCTCTTTATTCCATCTTTATTCTCACTAAAACAAAAACCTAGAGAGAGGGAGGCTTTGACCTCTCACAATAAAACAACCAGCGAAAATCGCCTTAGCCAGCTGAGCCATCATGAACCACCACACATCCACCGCAAATATTCAGATCTCTGGTTAAAGTTCAACCGAGATCTTCAACCGAAACCCGGAAACCTTATAACCCTAGGTGGCGCTTAATAACCCTAACCCTTGTTTGTCGTGGGTGGCCGTCAAGGCCGCCGTCTCAAATGAATCTCCGTCGGGAAATTCATCTTTTGTCCAGATCTTCAGCAAAAAACCTATGAACTCTAATGACTTCTAACCCTAACCCTTTAGAACCTTAACCCTTTATAACCGTAACCCTTTAGAACCCTAACTCTAGAATTTTTCCTGAAACCCAGATCCAACCCCAAATCTCTAACTCATTCAACAACCAAACAATGAATCATAAACCATAAGCTAAGTGATCTCAGATTACCTTCCTTACCGTGAAACTTCTCATACAATTTCCTTTGATTCCTTCTGCAATCTCCTTCTGGTCCTCTTCTTCTTTTGTTTGCAGGTAACAGTTAGGGCTTAGATCAAAGGGGTTATGGTTATAATGATTAACCCTAATCCTTTTTGGATGAAGAGCTCTACTGAGTGGCGGGGAATGTGCAGCAACAAGGGTTTCTCATGGATCTTTGTTCATCCTCGGTTCTGTTTTAGTCTTAGGTTTATATTGGTTTTAGAATTATATATATTAGGAAATTTGTATTTGATCTGCAGTTATAATTTTTAGATTGAATCAATTAGTTTAGATTTATTTGAAATCACATATTTGATTCAGTTTGTAATCTTAGAAATTAGAGTTTGTGAGATTTGTAATGTATTTGGACACCTTTGTATACAGATCCGTGACTAATCAATAAAATTGTTTTCAATCTTTGATTATACAAAGATTTGATTCAAAAATATTTGAATTACGGGCTTTTGGATAATCTTAGAGAGAAAGGTACCCAATTTGGGCACAATAATGAAATTAGGGTTTCCCAACCCTTTGTTGACTCAGTCAATAAAACAA